GCACAAGGCAATAAATTCTCCTCTGACTTCAACGGTGCAGCCGCATGGTACAAACTGGTGCGGTCGCATGGTTCATATGATTTCGGCCAACCAAATCCCTGCCTCTTGTTGTGCGGCCGCATGGCTGCAATGCTGTGCGGTCGCACAGCTTGGTATTTGCCTCCGTTTTTCGGCTACTTGTTCCATTTCGTTCCAATTGCTTCCGGCCTTCATTTCCAACACATGACTTGTCACTTGGCTCACAATCTTCAATACGTTAACTACCATGGCTTGATGATGATATTGATTGGCTTTATTATCCCAAATTAGTGCCAAACTTAGCTCAATTCTCGACCTTGGCTCCCAATCAAAATGCGTCAATTCCTTGAAACTTGGAAGCCTACCTTGGATCACATCAGGGAGGAGGAGGTTGAGTTTGAGCGGCGGTAACACCAGGACTAGGTGAGAGGGAGGAATAGGATGGCTAGTGGAGTGGAGAGTTAGAGACAGCGAAGGGGGGAGAGCGAATAGTGAAAATCGAAATGGAATTGATTCAATAGAATTGAGAATGGGTTGTAAATGGGTCATGGGTGTATCATGAATGTGTTGATTGGGCTAATGGGTTACTACGCTAATGGGCTTCACTTCTTAAGGACGCGAATAATTTCATTTATTATATATCCAAATTATAATAGGAGGTTTCGAGTATTGAAACACTCAGACCAACCCATTTGACGACTAGGCCTATTCTTGACTAACCAACAAGCCACCAATCCCCAATGTTAAATTCTGATAAGAGCATCTTAGGGCATGCTTTTTCTATAAAAGAATTCGCATCCTATGGCTTAGATGGAAGCTCCACACACAAACATGCTCACAAGGCGGACCGGTCTATGATACATTATATAATGGATCATGCCATTAATGAGGAGAGCCGTTTTTGGATTTGGGTCGTTTTATACAATTTAACACATCTAGTGACTTATGTTGCTTTTGTTAGACATATACGATTGGTATATACCCATGTGTTAATATCCTAATGACTCTACGTATGTTCATACACGGTACTTTACATTTGCATAAATGGGTCACGCTGTAGGTCATCACGAGTACTTACAAATTTAATAGTCACGGAATTGTAAGCAGAAATCGTAAATTTTAAGTTTTTAAGAGGTATTTGATACTTGATAATTAAAAGTTAAAGATGATCAACTGTACTAGAAACCCTAGTACATAGTACTAATGACAACTATTTTCGCAGAAATATGTGCAAGAAATATATTCAAGATCCATTGAAATGCTAGCCAGTCAACAATCGATGACATCCACTTTATGGAGAATAGATGTCCACATCATATGGTGAGGAGAACATTCCACATTTAGCAAATCTCTTCTTTCCATTCAAACTTATGGTTTTTGATTTCGAAACCCTAGACTTCTACTTGATGCAATCACATGGTTTCCCTTAATTTCTTAATGTTAATTAAAAAAAGGGCTTATTTTCTTGGTGGGTGTGACTTTCTTAGACTTTCTTTCACTTTTTCTTTACATGCATCTCGAGGAGCATGTAAAAAATATCTATGTACAAATTCAGCCAAGCAAATTTGTTACAAAATTGGTGACGAGATGAATGACGTTTTTCTCCTATAAACTCAAGTGTTAAATTGGTGATATCTACACCGCTAACGTGTAAGCTATTTCTCTTTTTGGGACATTTTGCCGATTATTTTATAGCGATTCTTGTGTCGAAGTGAATCATATTGACATTAAGTACAAGTAAATATATATTATCTTTTTAGCACCACTACATGCATAATTTCCTATTTTTTATTTTACTTTCTTGAGTAAATATTTTTATATAGAAATTATTAATGAATCAAGATGGTGGAGGTAAAATTGAATGACATTGGGTTTGACTGAGATGAATATGGGGAACATCTTCCACAGACAAGAATAAGTACTATTTATCGTTGTTTATTAATATTGCTTGTGTTTTATTTTATTTTCTCTTCATATTTTATAATATATATAACTATTCTAGTTGAAATATGAATTATCAACAACAGAATAGTGTATGTGTGTCTTCTTGCTAATATAAGAAGATAAAATATATTAGTTAATTGGAATATAAGTTAAGTCCCTATTTGACAACTATTATTTTCAAATTCTTTTTACTAGTACTCATTTTCAACCATATTCATACAATAAAATATTTTGCATGTAAATTCAAAATTTTTCTTTATTTTTTAAACGTACATTCTACTAAAATTCATTATTCAGAACATTATTTTTCCCAAATAATAATTATCGAACATAGACTTAATTTTTAGAATAATGTCTATAAGACTATGTATGTCCTTTCGTATTGACTAACATATGTTCAGAAGGTTTGTTCTGTATGCAGCTCCATATTTCAAAAACTTCAGCTTTTATGTCTAATTGATACAAGCTTTAGATCAACTCTTTTTCAAAAATAAAAAAAAAATATATATATATATATATTCTCGATAATTTCATCTGACATGTTTGTTAATAATAAATGAAAAATAATATGGCTAAATATGACCTAAAATTTTTAATGATTCCAACATGGAATGTAGTATTAAAATATGTGATTCTATTCAACTTATCTAACTCCTATTTGCTACTAATTAAAATTTAGATTTTAATCTAAGTAAGAGCTAGTTTGTTTCTTATTTTTGTAAGAATAAGAATGAAAAATATAGTCATTATAGGCCTCACACAACATATAGAAATTTAAATTTGGTGGCTTGATGTAATGGATAACGGTCATATTTTTTATTTTAATGAAAAACGAATGAGAAACAAACAGGGCTAAATATTAAAATTAAATTTCAAGTAGATTTTGATAAAAAAAAAAAAAAATTGATAAAATGTATGGTTAAAAAGTTGTAGGATCCATATAATACCAATATATTAATTTTTTGATTTTGATTTAGATTAAAATTTAATTTTAATCAATACCAAATAAGGGTCAAGTTAAAGTCAATAATTAATTCTAATCATATATTTTATGGATTACACAACTTTTCAATCACGCATCTTATCAACTTTTATCAAAATTTACTAAAAATCTAATTTTAATACCTACCAAATGGAGGCCTACTGAGGTATTAAGCAAACTCATATTAAGTTCAAAATCAATGCCTGCAAATGAGGGTTAATTTTTCCAATATTCACTAAACTTAGATTGACATTTTTCGATTGCTCACTATACCTTGATATATCGAGTTTTGGCCACTAAACTTTTCAAGTTCGGACGATATATGTTGAAATAAATTTTATTCTATGTCTCTAGTGGAGTAGCTGCTTCGGCAGATGAATTTCACAATTGGCTTCCATCACAGTTATATGCCTAATCACGAAAGAGGGACAATCCACATAAGCAAAGCATCTTTATTTGCTAAATATACTTTAAGTTGGGTCAAGTTTTAGTCACTAAACATCTCAAAGTGACATTAGAATAATATGAAAACATGGGTTTTGTTTATTTTGTGTTTAATATTGTGTTATTATATGTTTAGAAAGATTTTTCAGGTTGAACATTTTACATTTTATTAAGTTATTTCGCTAATAGAATATAATACGAGAGACAATCAAATCAAACTCAATCACCATTCTTTAATGGTAATTTTTCTTAAATTTTGTTTAATTGGGGAACTACAATTTGGTTTGATTTCACTTTAATGACTTGTCAAGACATTTATTTGAAATGCTATTCCTTTTTTTTTTTTAAGAAATAATGCTACTTACATATAAGTAGTTGCATAATTGTTTATATACATATGATATGCTTAAAAGAGAGCAAAGAATTTTTTTTCTTTTGGTTGAAGAGACTATGACCCGATCATATTTTACTACATTATATGTATGTAAACCTTTTATGTACATGCGCAGCAGTAGCACAACCATTTTTCACCTATCTTATTTTATTTCACGCGTGGAAGATCATGCAGCATTAATAGCACCATCAATATGAAAATATGTTATCCTTTCAATATTTGAATCTCGAAAATATAAATAAATATATCACTAAGATTACACATTTAAACACAATAAGCTCTTCGTAATTGCAATATAATTAAAAAAAATACCTAAATTTTCGAATTCTACCATTGAACATGACAAGCCCATGTTTGGGTTTCATTTTTGTCAAATACATTTTCCTCTTTTTTTATTTTCAACCACACATTTTTCAATAAAATAATATTACATGTAAATCCAAAAATTTTCCTTATTTTTTAATTACACATTCTCTAAAAAAAAATAAAAATCATAATTTCAAAATTAATTTTTCCTCAAAATTCATTTTTAATGGAGCCCAAAACACGGGCTATAATAACACTTAATAATTCCATTAGCAAAATGATTTAATAAAATGTTTAACCTAGGAGGGGGAAAAACCTTTCTAAACATATATAATAATACAACATTAAACACAAAAAATCAACAAAACACATGGTTTTCATATCATCCCTTCATCACTTTGAAAATTTTATTGGCTAAAATTCGATCAACTTAAAGTATAGCAAGTAGTCAAATGCATTTATTAAAGTATATTAAATTATTAAAAACGCATTTCTTACATGTACTTCGATCTTTCGTGATTAGACATCTGACAATGATAGAATGCAGGTCAACAATTCTGTTAGAATGCGAAATGAAAATGATTCCAATAAGTAACATCCGACAATTTCAGAAATTTAGTGGCTAAAAACTCAATTTTTATTAAAGTGTAATTAGCAATCAAACACGTCAACTTAAATTTATTAATTATTGGGACTTCCAAAGAGTTCTAAACTAACCAAGTTACTGAAGAACTTTTAAAAACAAAAATTAAAAGAAAAAGAATGGAAAGATGACTATTTTTCCTCATTTCATTCCAGCATTACTCAAACAGCGTATTTTACGACTTCCTCGTTTCAAACCCAGAAAATTTGTGATTATGAACGAGGAAATCTAACGATCAGATGGAAATGTAGTGTGGTATGGAGCTGCCAATTTCTTTAAACTTCTCTTCTCGTAATTGTAGATAGTTTAAATTGTAGGATTTTTGAGGTTTAAGACAATTACTCTTCAATTTTACTTTGTTCCCGTAATTTCCCTAAGATTTGGTGAAACCTTGTGTCGTTTTATCCCCCAATTGTTCGATTATTTGCTGTCGTTTTGTGGTGATTGAGCCCGTAATGCAAGTGCTTAGACCTAATTCTGGTTGCAATTCGGTGATCTTCTGATAGTTCACGTTCCCGAGATTGACAGTAATACCTCGAAATTAGCATTCTTAATTCATGGATGAAACCAGTGCCACGAATACTCGTTTAACATTTGTCGCCCCCAAATTCTTCACCTCATTGTGTATTTACACACCTAATATCGTGTGATAGCCCCACATTGTAGTGATCTGGTTGCTGTTCTGATGCTCACCGTATATAAATGTTATTCAAAAATGCACATATATACATGGCTCTAGAACTCAATCACCCATGTGTAACTGTCAATATATAAATTCGGGTGGAATTGTTTGTAGGGTTGGAATTACTATCTTCACTCATTTCTGCTTACCATATATAATGTTAGTCGAAAAACTAGGAATATTCACAGCTATAGAATTCTCTTTTGAGTGCAAAAAAGAAAGAGACGCGTGGGGCAGCCCATTCGTGTACAGCATTGGGATATTTATTGACAGCAAGCCTGTATACAAGGTTGATTGTTTTGAGTCAATGGTTAAGGTGGTAATAATTGTCTAATATTTAGTAACTTGAACCAATGAAAAGCTGCTCAGCTTTGGCCATGGTTTTCATAACAGATTAATCTCTATTTATTAGTTCCAAAGCTGAAATCTTATTGGCTTCTAGGATCTGCTGTTTGAGCGCCAGACTTTTTCCCAATTACACCACACAACACAACCATTAATTCCCACAGGCCTTACTAAATTTTCTAGCAACGTGAAGAGAATTTTATTACTGTTCTTTGGAAATGAAGGTGAGAGATAGTGAGATATTTGTCTCATTTTATTAGGGAAAAAAACTGTTGTTATAGTGGTTTTGATTTGTTTGGCTGCAGTTCTTCAACTGGATGCAGAATAAGTTCAATGGAGGAGAAGGGAATAAGAAGCCAAGTGCAGTTCCTGCTACAAGTATGTTCTTCTTCCTTCTTATGTAATGCAAGTGAATCTTCTGTTACAGTGTTGGTTAATGATCTAATGGTGTAAGACATATTTTAAGGAGATAATTGCTAGTAAAATATTCTTTTTCCTTTGTCCGTGGAGGAGGATTGTAGAAGTTAATTTGGAGAGGGATTGGGAGCTGTGAGGGGACTTGAGGATTATATAACTGTAACTCAATTTTATAAACATGCACTTTCTAACTTGATCTGGTATATCAAAATTGCCACATTGAGCTTCTTTAGTTCTCATTGAATATCGTTTGTGGATCCAAGTATGCACAAGATTCACTCTTAAAGTTAGCTTGAAGGCATAACTGTGCATGAGACTTCCGTCTCCCATGACTAATAAGTGATTAAAGAAAGAGCTCGTCTTTTTTTCCTATTCTGTACAATTCTAGTGCTATTAACAATGGAAAATGATTGTTAATCTCCATGCAATCATAAAAATTATCGATTAGCATGATCAGTGTTTAAAGAAAAGTAAAATCAAAGACCCCATCAAGAAGTCATCTGGTACAACACTCAGAATATCTTCTCTGGATGTTAGTGTAGGAGATATTCCATGAAAATCCAGCCTCAATCAAGATTATAAGGACTCTCGAAGTGACTGAGACGAAAATTTCAAATGTCGGGCAAATTAAGCAACTTTTCTAGACATAATGGAAGAGTTCAGTGTGTGTGCCTGTCATACATCGATTTAGAGTCTCATAATCATCTGTTTCCCCTTAAAAGATTAAATTAATGTGTGTATTTTCAGCTAGGAACTGATGCAACTTAACTATTTCGACGGAATGATACAAAAAATTATGAATTTTTTTTACATGATAGCCCTCACACCTGGGGAAAATTCTAAAAATTCTTCTCCATTTACATTCTGCTGCACAATTTTACATATCTAGGGGCTATTGGCTATAGCAATTCAAATATCTTATTACATATAAATTTGTTTATTATTTATTGATCTCAAATTTAACTTCCTTAATGCAGATCATACAAAGAACGAACCTCCGAAAGAAGAATTCAGTGACTGGCCTCAAGGATTGCTGGCAATTGGAACTTTTGGCAACACAGATCTTACAGAAAATCAAGAGAGCCAAGTTGTAAAGAATCCAGACAATGAAATCCTACCGGACGAGCAATGTTCCTCTCCAGATTTTTCGGAATTCACTGCTGAAGAAGTCGGAAAGTTACAAAAGGAGTTGAAAAAACTTTTGACTCGCAAACCAAAAGCTGAAGAACCAATTAAAGATCTGCCATTAGATAGATTCCTCAACTGCCCTTCTAGCTTGGAAGTAGATCGCACAATTTCTAATAGATTCAGCATCAGCACTATTTCGGATGATAAAGACGAAGAAGAAATTGATCGAACCATTAGAATAATCCTCGGAAGATGCAAAGATGTTTGCGAAAAGAAGAAGAAAGCAATTGGCAAGAAATCAGTAACTTTTCTTCTCAAGAAAATGTTTTCTTGCAGAAGTGGCTTTGCACCAACTCCCAGCCTTCGAGATCCATTTCCTGAATCGCGGATGGAGAAGGTAACCGTCTCTATTTTCTTGATACATGAATCCATATAATTCATGCTTATGCAAAAAGTGCAACTAATTTTACCTAAGAATGTCTAGTCCCCTGTTTTTCACAATCTAAGATGCGAATATCTGCCTTAAACAATTACATTTTCAGAAAATGTTCGATGATATTAGATCTTACACTAGGTTAATGCTTTATGAAGCCTAATGTGCAAAAAATGAAGTAAATAGTGGACAAGTAGACAGATTGAACACGTTTTAATGCAGTTTCCCTAGAGTCCTTTTAAAGAGCATAATATTATGTTGAGCTCTCAGTCATGGTAATCCTAATGAATTGTATTAATCGTAATTTACAGCTTTTGCGGAAAATGCTCACCAAGAAGATGTATCCTCAAAATTCTTCTCGAGCATCATCCACGAAGAAATATCTAAGGGATAACAGACATACATCAAATGCTGAAAAACAAGATGAACAGCAGGAAAAAAGATGCGACGGATCTAAGTGGGACAAAACTGATTCTGAATGTAAGTTCGTATTATACAGTTTTAGCATATCTGATTCACAGTTTTCAATATAATATAACATGAAATTGACAAAAAATATATATATATTTGGGTTTGCAGACATTGTTCTTGAAATTTAAACAAGCCTCGAGGATGTCAACATTCGATTTCCAGTGACTAAATACACTTATTGGATCATGGCCGATCATGAAGTGATCATAAACTGTACAACGAAAAAAAAAAAAAGCTTTTTTAAAAAAAAATAAAAATAAAAAAATTGTAATTATACTCCCAAACTTTTTAAAAAACTGTAAATGAGTCTAAATAAATTATTAAAAGAGTAATTAGCACAGCACTCCTACCTTTCAATATTATTGTGAAAAAAGTCCATATATTTAATTTTTTTTGACATTTTCACCTTTATTTTTCACATTTCATTGCAAAATCGTTATTTTTATCATTTTTTCAATTAAAAAATGTAAAATGATAAACATACCCTCTTATTTAAATAAAATAAAAATAAAGAATAAATTGCAAATACACTCCCAAAATGTTTTAAAAAAGTACAAATAAATTTCAAATAAATAATGAAAAATAAATAGGAGGGTATATTCGTCATTTTACAATTTTTAATTGAAAAAATGGATAAAAATGATAATTTTCGCAATGAAATGTGAAAACAAGGGTGAAAAATGTCAAAAAATGAAAGGTAGATACGTTTTGTACAATAGTATTAAAAGGTAAGGACATTTTATACTAATTATCATTTTATTAACTTATTGAGACACATTTGTAGTTTTTAAAAAAGTTTGGGAGTATAATTGTAATTTTTTTATTTAAATAGGAGTGTATATTTGTCATTTTACATTTTTATATTGAAAATCTTTTTCGCAATGAAAGATGAAAATGTCAAAAAATGAAAAGTGTGAACATTTCTAACTTCTAATAAAAAGGGGAAAGGAGGGTCTACTATTCATGCAATAGTAAATTAATCCAATTTTACTATGCATGATATCATTTTTTATTTTTCATTTTATTTATGTCAAACAAATGTTCTTCTACACATCATGCCACTAGCATTAAAAAAATAATTATATCAAACAAATGTTCTTCCACATATCATATCATTAGCATTAAAAAATAATAATAATTTTAGTAAATATAAACTGCCAAGAGCAAAAAAAAAAAAAAAAAAAAAAAAAAAAAAAAAAAAAGAAACCTCTTCACACATGAGCTTTAACATAAATAAATTCTCCGCACAGTGTGGAGAAATGGCAAGCCATGTGTGGAGTAAAAAAGAAAGAAAAAAATCTCTGCATAATGCGGAAAGATAGCAAGCTATGTGCGGAGAGATAGCAAACTCTTCGTACAGTGCGAAGTAAAAAAAAAATTTTCTCCGCAGAGTGCGGAAAGATAGCAAACACTACGGTAAAACTCTTCGCACAGTGCGGAGAGATGGTATTCTGTGCGGACACTGTCTTCACAAAATGCGTACTCTTCGTACAGTGTGGAGTAAAAAAAAGCAACAAAAAAAAACTTCTCACAGTGCGGAGAGTTGGCAAACTCTCTGTACAGTGCGAAGTTAAAAAAAAAATCTCTGCACAATGACTGTCACGTGCATTGCACGAATTTTACATTTATCGTATTTTTATTATTATATGAATTTTAGTTTTTTAGAAAGTTTTTGAAACAATATCTAAAAATATTTCCATGATATAAGAAGATAATTACAAATTATTTTTACAATTGCATAACAGTATTGTGTTATCTAGAAAAAAATATTCTTGTATATTTCATACTTGAATAAGAAATATACGAGATTATACAAATTATTTTTCTTGTATTCTTTCATAGTGTTGATATAATTGAATTGAATATGAAGATTATATTTCTAAATTTTGTATAATTCAATGTTGAAAAATTGAAGATTGAGCACCATATTCATATGCATTTATATTTTGTGCTTCATATATATTTAATATTTATTTTATGCTTATATTGAAAAAATAAAAATCTGAAATTTTTTTTTGAAATTCGATTTGGTAAATAAATGTACAATGTTCTGCATTCTCGGTATTTGTAAGTGCAAAAATCACTATATAAAAATACAGTAAGCTACAAATACGGTAGACAGCTATACAGTAAGCTGCAAATACGTAAGGTGAAAATACGGTAAGTTGTTTGCAAATACGGTAGGCTGCAAATTCGATAAGTTGCAAATACAGTAAGCAGCAATACGATAAGGTGCAAATACGATAGGTTGGAAATATGGTAGGCAGCATATACGGTAAGTTTCCTGTAAATACGGTAAGTTGTATATATGGATTTATAATTTGTTATAAATGTATAAAATTTATTTAATATTGCATTTCGTAAGTATTAAATGTTGTAATTTAATATTGTTTCCTTTTTTATAATTGTATTTTCGAGAATTAAAAAAAAAAGTGGTTATGAAATTGCTAATTTTTAAATGTGTTTTTTTGTTGAAAATAAAAATAATTTTTTATGTTATTTGTAAAAAAAAAATTATTTTAATTTTATTAGCTTAATAAGAAGATTTATTATACATTTTTATTTTTTGCATTTTGTGAAGCATTTTTTTATGGTGATTGACAAATATTCTTCCACACACGCATCATGCCAACAACATTAAAAAAATAATAATAATTTTAGTATATATAAACTCCATGAGACAAAAAAAATTCCGCACATCAGCAAAAAAAAAAAAAGACTCAAACTATCTCTCCGCACAGTATGAAGAGAAAAATAAAAACTCTTGAAACTTTATCCACAAGTTTCAAGAGGCCTTTTCTCAAACAACTTTTGAGCAATGCATTGAACACTTTAACTCCTGGCCTACAACCTGAAAGTATAATTCATTGAAAATTGTATCCGGTTCTAATGTCCAAGAGCTGTTACCAAGCAAGTGTAAATTACTAAATTTGGGTGATACCCTAGAGCCTCCATTTGTGAAAACAATGTCATGGTACTATCAATATCTCCTTCTTTACGCAACTCACATATTGTTTCATTGTATGAATCACGAGAAAGCTCGTTTCCAATACCGTAAATATGATTTGCATACTCAAAAATTGAGCTGTGACTGGAATTTAAAGAAGACAATTGATTTTGAGCCATGTTTTTCGACTTTGTTTCGTTGTATATACGAAAAATTTACAATCTTGAAATTTGACTTGTAATTAAAGAATTTGAAAACAACTCTCTGCACTGTGCAGAGAGTTTTTTCTCTCTTTGTACGGAGAGTTGGTTTGTCATCTCTCAATACTGTGCGGAGAGTTTTTTTTACTCCGCACATGGTTCAACTCTCTCCGCATTGTGCGGTGAGGTTTTTTTCTCTCCGTACTTTTTTTTTTTACTTTACACATGGTTCAACTCTCTACGCACTGTGTGAAAAGTTTTGCCATGGTGCGGACAAACTCTCCGCACTGTGCGAAGAGATTAACCCTCTCCACACAGTGGGGAGAGTTTTTTTTTGCTCTCCATACTGTGCGGAGAATTGGTTCGTCATCTTTCCGTACCGTGCGGAGAGGTTTTTTCTCTTCTTACCTTTTTTTATTTTTTATTTTTACTCCACACTTGGTTCAACTCTCTCCACACTGTGCGGAGAGTTTTTTTCAATTTTACAATATTGAATTACACAAAATTTAGAAATATAATCTTCGCATTCAATTCAATCATATCAACACTATCAAAGAATACAAGCAAAATAGTTTGTATATTTCTTATTCAAGCATGAAATATACAATCATATTTTTCTAGATAACATACTGCTATGCAATTATAAAAATAATTTACAATTATTTTCTTATATCATGGAAATATTTTTAGTTATTACTTCAAAAATTTTCCAAAAGAACTAAAATTCAGACACTAATAAAAATACGATAAATATAAAATTCGTGCAATGCACGTGATAGCAACTAGTTACACAATAACATTGAAAGGTAGTGATGTTTTGTACTAATTACCCTTCATGAAATAGACAACTAAATTAAAGTATAGCTAGGAGATGTAGACTGAAACAAGTGGAATGAAGTGTGATGTCTTCTTTTTTAAATGAGATTCACTAATTGGTAAAATCAAAGAACAGGTTAGCGAAAATCCTTTAACTTGTTATCTAGAAGATATAATAACCATAGTGACTAATGGAGTGTAGTAAATGTGAAAGAAAGATGTAATAATAGACGAGAGTAATAGGTAACTTCAATTATGAATAAAAAAATTAGAAATACATTATTATCAATGTTTGACCGCTTTATATTACTGTTACCTCTATTAGAGACTCTTTATTTAGAAAGTATATTCTATCATTTAGAGAGCATATATAAATTTGGATAATTAAAATTTCTAAGTATTATATTTAACACTTAATTTTACTACTTTTAAAAAATATTAATTATTTTTTCTATTTTTTATTTTAACTAGTTTTTTTCTAAATTAAAGTGTTAATTTAAATAGTCTCTTGGAGCAGGATTTTAAAAGTTGACTCTTTAAAATAGAGATAATTTCAAGCTTAAAAAATCTCTTAGAGATGTTCTAATACTCCACTTGAATTATAAAAGTCCATTTGGCTGCAATTATTTGAAATTTTAATGGTTGGAATAATTTATTTTTTATTATTTTTTTAAGAATGTATGGTTAAACAAGAAGAAAAAGTTTTGGAATTACTAATTTACTCGAAATATTATGTTATTGGTGAATGTGAGGTCAATAAGAAGAGAGAAAAAATTAAATATAATTTTAATAAGGACCAAATATTGGCCATGCCTCTCTTTCCTTGATTTTTAATTTTTAATGTAATATAACTCAACAATTCTTTAAGTTTCCATTAATAAATACTGTTGAAGATCAAAAGCAACTTGATCAAAGAATGGAAGAAGTGAATCGTGATTGATATTCATTGGAAGAAGCCCTCGTCTGTTCTGGTTGTTGACATGTTGTGTTAATGTTATTAATGAAGAAAGGGGGAATATTGTCACAATCTGGTCTTGATAGCAGTAGTTCTACAAAAGTAGTCAAAACATGCACGTATGAATGTTCAAAGAGCTAAAGGCTGGTGACAGGGTAGCCACAAGCAAGGAGCCAAAGGCTATGTGGTGTAGTGCCAAATCAAGGGGTTGAGACGTGGGACAGATGCAATGCATGTAACAGAAGTACAAGGCAGATGTAGGCAAAGTCAAAGATTGGATGCAAGAGATGCAACCAAACATAATAGTTGTGGTGGTGC